CTTTCTGAATTCCTCGTACTTGCGACGTCATTAAGCATAGCACTATTTTGCGACAGTTTATATATATATATAATCGCGAATGTCTTTCTCTCTCTGTGAGTCTTACGCATGACAAACTACAAACTCCAAATTCGGGGTACAAATACAACTTTGTGCGGGAAGTAACATAGGCTATGTGGTTGTGACCTCAGAGCGATTTTGAGGCCAAAATGACAAATATAGCAATTTTTGGCAAACACGACAACCAACGACGACCAATTGGTCTCAAATTGAATAGGCCGGATATTTTTGGTTATGTGTAATCAAAAGGGCTAATATTTACGTTTTTTCTCTGTGTGAGCACTTCTCCTAATCATTTTATCCATGATCAACTATGTGTTAAAATGATTTAAAAACTTCGTGGAGCCTTCATTTGCTTCTCTGCTCGTAATCTCTTCTTTTTTTGTTCCTGACATCAAGACAAAAAATATTGTGTACAAAGAAGATTTACAGTAGACCAATAAATTAGCATGCATATAAAAAATTAAATCAGCCGAGTACTCTGCTAGTATATCAATATAACTAGGAAGTGTTTCTGTTCTTGATATTTCGACAAAGCTACAACAGGGCTAGCCGTCTCTAATTTGAACCGATAGACTAGAGGGAACAGTACTCATCGCCAACTCTTGGGCTACCACAATCGAATAATGGAATTTGAACGTCACTTTTAAAAAGTATCCACAGCTTCCAAAGGCGGAGTGCAATTTTGCGGCAGTGGGGCGCAAACAATTTATTACTCTAAGATTCACATTCCGGCACGCTACTCCCTAGGTCACTTCGGCGCCCATAGCTAAGAAAGGAGGTTCAAAGATCACCCACAACTGGAATAAGAATATGAAGCAAAATGATGAAAACAGAGATTAAAATTAGGCTAAAACATTTTCTTCAATATAATTTTATAGTATCGGCAATACCTTTGGTATGTTTTGAACTTCGCGCAAAGCGAGGACTATCTGCGCTAGGCGTCCTTAATTTAGCAGTGAAAGACTAGAGGGAAGGCAGCTAGTCATCGTCAAAAACAAAAAAATCGAAAATTATCTATATTACTGCTTGAAATCTGTAAGAACATATCTTTGTACCAAATCCCATATAAATTGACCGAAATATGGTGGAGTAAGTGTCAAAAACAAACAAATGAAAATTAAGCTTTTTATGGCATCTTCACCACCCTCTTACAATTGCTAAAAATGGGCAAGTCCTCCACTTCTGTTTGTTAATATGTGGGACCTGTAGAAAAGTATTTTTGTACCAAATCCCATATAAAATGACCAAAATATGGCGGAGTAAGTGTCAAACACAAACAAATTAAAATTATGCTTTTTATGACATCTTGACCTCTCCCTCCTCTTACAATTGCTAAAAATGAGCAAGCCCACCACTTTTGTTTGTCAATATGTGGGACCTGTAGAAAAGTATTTTTGTACCAAATCCCATGTAAACTGATCAAAATATAGCCGAGTAATTGACCAAAACCCACGAAACTGTGTTTTTTTTTTTTGAGCACTGCCCCTTATAAAGACTGAAAATGAGCAACTCCAAGTTATTTTACGTCAATGTGTTGGGCGGGAGCGTGAGAATTTATATTTGTGCCAATTTTCATCTTAATTGCTGTATATATGACCGCACGGGAGTCCAAAATATATTTTTTGGGGGTTGTTTGACTTTTGACCCCATAAAATCCTTAAAAATGCGAAAATAAAAAAAAAGTGAAAAAGTATTTCGGCGTATTGGACCAAGGTATAACCCAATCAAGTCTCAAGTCAATCCGCAGAGAAATGAAAGAATAGCGATCGATTGAAAAGTGTTTGGAAGAAGAATAAAGAAAGAAAGAAAAAAAAATAGAAAAACGACAGAGACTGCGGAGACATCATAATTACGTTTTCTCTCTACTGGGTGGTTGTTTAGACTATTTTACCTGATTATCGCCAGACAGTTTTACTCACGCTGTCGAAAATTATAAAATAATGTTTTTTTTTTCTCTCTCTCACTGAATGAATCTTTAAAAATAATTTGCTCGATAACTGCCGTATAATCTTATTTATTTAAAGTATATGTCACTAGAAGAAAAAAAGAAAATTCTTGATCTGATTCAATTGTGTTTCATGTAGCTATATAAATAACTTTATTTGAAGATCATTAGACGCTTCCAGTCACAGAAGAGGAATTACAGAACAAAAAATAATATTCAAAAGTAAACCTTTGTAAACGTACTGCATGTTTGGAAGATTTTGTTTCTTGATAATCGGTTACTGATTATTATTATGATTATTATTACCCCCAAGAGGAAATTCAATAAACAAAAAAGAATAAGTAATATTAAAAGAAGTGTATGTAAAGGAAGACACTGAGCAAAACTATCCAGGTTAATTTATGGTGGTTGGGTTCTAGCATTGAGCATAAAACATCCAGATTAATTTGTGGTGGTAGGATTTTAACACTGAGCATAAAACATCCAGGTTAATTTATGGTGGTAGGGTTCTAACACTGAGCATAAAACAACCAGATTAATTTATGGTGGTAGGCTTCTAATACTGAGCATAAAACATCCAGATTAAGTTATGTGATTGGGTTCTAACACTGAGCATAAAATATCCAGGTTAATTTATGGTGGTTGGGTTCTAACACTGAGCATAAAATATCCAGGTTAAATTATGGTGGTAGGGTTCTAACACTGAGCATAAAACATCCAGGTTAAGTTATGGTGGTTGGGTTCTAACACTGAGCATAAAACATCCAGGTTAATTTATGGTGGTAGGGTTCTAACACTGAGCATAAAACATCCAGGTTAGTTTATGGTGGTAGGGTTCTAACACTGAGCATAAAATATCCAGGTTAAATTATGGTGGTAGGGTTCTAACACTGAGCATAAAATATCCAGATTAATTTATGTGGTTGGGTTCTAACAATATCAGAGGAACAATAAAAGATTACCAGCTTTTGCTAAATTACCTAGTTATTTCCGATCTGTGTTTTTTTTCCATTTCCTTGTTTATCAATCTATTGTGAAGCAAAATCAGTATCTGTCATTATTTCAAACGAAAGTGTTGCTTTGTTTTTGAAAGTTTCTTAAGTAACCGAGTGTAATTACCAACACAAATAAAAAAAATCTCCTTCCGCACAATCTGTCTTATTACTTCTATCCTAGATGAAACATAGATCAGGAGCAGGAATTCAATTTTTTTAATGAATTAATTAATAAAAAGACGAATTCTGAGATCTATCGCTATATTTTATGTTGGCTGTAAAAGACAACACCTCCCGGTGGTCAGCGGTAAGTCTGCGTGCTTACAACACTAAAATTCAAGTTACGATACCCGTGGTTGGCAGAGCACAGACAGACCACTGTGTTGCTTTGTGCTGAATGACAACCAACCACAAACAATTAAGAAGGCACATAAGACCAGGGCGCTTAACTCCCTACTAGTAATGGTTACTGTACACATATGATGAAATCAGACAACTTTGGTATATCGGAGAATATGTTCGATGATCATAGGGGTAATTAGGTATGAAGGGTACGAATATTTAACCGTTTCTTTACTGACTTTCTTCTGTAAAAAAACAAAAAAGATATGAAAAACGAAGTGAAAAATTATCATATCTGAAATTTTTGATATAACACCTCTGTTTTTCTCTATAGAAAATAATAAGAAACGTATCTGAATATTTCGACTAATTTTCTTCAGGACATATCAACGAACCTTATTGTTCCAGAATATTCGCACAAAGGGCTATCTATCTGAACATAGCCGTTCCTATGATGATCTGACAGACTAAAAGAAATGCTGCTAGTAAACAGTATCCACAGCCAACTTTTGAAATACTCTTATTTTTCAAATATTGGAATTTGACCGTCGTTCTTATAGCATACTTATAACCCTAAAGCAGGTAGCACGGTTTTTGCAGTAACGGGACACGAACGGTAGACCCTCCGTCTCAGAGTTCGTGCAAACTAGCCTCTAAACCACGTTCGGTCCAATAAAACTTAAATGAACAAAATATTGGTTATTTCTAGTTTTTTAGGGGCGTGAATATAACTTTTACTTCAGCTCAACTCTTCAGCATGGTATCATCCTTTTCACAAGTATTTGAACACATATTACAAAATAACAGGAAGACGACAAAATGCTCTACGACATTGGATGCAAACAATTTTCAAAAGACTTAAATTCTGTAATAAGAAACAAGATCACTTCGGGTAAATAAAACCAAAACAACTTCTCAGTCTGCTTAACACCACAAAGAAAATCAAAAACGGTATAATCTTCATATAACTCTTACCAAGTTCTGGTGTTAAACCGGCCAGCTTATGGTCACTTATAGACTAAAAGTAAAGTCCCATCTAACCGTTAACAATAGGGGATTCTCAACAGCCGCGGCACTTGAAATTCTTTTAGGTAGGATTAGAGTAAATTAATCTATGAAACCTATTTTCCCTTTTTATTAGCTATATTTTGTGCGCCAGCAATACCAAGTGAGGGGCTCGCGTATACCCGATTCGATTTTATTACTCATCAGGATCTCTACCAGCCTACCGTCAAATTGAAATGCTTTTAAGCGGGATTAGAGTAAATTGAACTATGAAACCTTGGGCGTGGTCAAATATATCAATCGAAAGGGTTTGACCTCCTGAGTCCAAAACTGCAATTATATCTGAAGTCGGTCAAGAGGTGACGGATCTATGAGCTAAACGTTTGTGCTTGAAAAACTCAGAGCCATTCTATAAGCTGCTATGCCGCAGCTACGAATTTAGAACAAGTGATCATCAATCTAAGTTCTGTAATAAACTCTGTGTATTGCCACCTGAATGGTGAGGAGTATTCCTTGAGTTTAGTAGCAGAGTCAAGTTTGTTATTTCATCACACCACTGATGTAAAATCGTGCTTAATTAGTAAAAAAAAGAAGAAGAAAGAGACGTACGTTCTAATACTGTATTATCTTCATTAATATTATGTACTCACCGTTAAGAAAAACAGTCGCCATTGTCTGTGAGGATCCGGCTTTATTGCTGGCAACACAACAATACTTTCCTTTCTCATTTTCACTGGTGGCTTTTATGTGTAATCGACACCTTAAAGTGGCAGAAAAAACCCAGTAATTAACTGCCAATTATAGCAATCGTGCTACGTTAAGAAAAAAAACAATAAAAACTGTCATTAACGATTTACAACTCCATTAGACTTAACTTGAACTTATTTCTTAACATCTGGCTACAAATTGTTGCCGTGCTTTATTAACTAAATAAATAAAATTGGCTCAAAAAGTAAAACTAAAACTTTAATTAAATTCTATATAAATCAGTTACTGAACAGAGTTACCGGTCTAAGTTTACTTAATTTAATTAGATTCAGTTTCAAAACGAAATGGTACTAATTATGAATTTAACAAGAAACGTATTACGGCAATAACTGTATTTAATGTAATTTTGGATGAATAGATGAACAGACAGATAGTTATAGAGAAATAGATAGATCATGCTCACTTCTCTCCTGAACGCTCTATGTGTAATTGCCTAGAGGAACCTATTTTACGACCTGACCGCTCCCACCAGACATGTGGGATAGGATAGCCTCGTACGCAACACTCCAGGGTGACAGGCTCTCCTAGGGCAATGTATACATCTTTTAAAGGCCTGGTGAACGTTGGTGACGAGAATGACCCACTGCTGTCATAAAACATATATGTGGGGCATGTAATATCCATAAATAAATATATATATATATATATCAATTAATTCTCTCCTCACTTTCAGTAACTAGCCTGTAAGTAGAACTACCAAAGTTATGAATGTCTAATGCAAATGAATAGATTGCATCTTCTGTATCATCAACAGTAAAAAAAAAGAGCAAGAAGTCTCTCTATCCACAAATTTTACAACTAGAAGTCTCTCTATCCCACAATTTTACAACTAGAAGTCTCTCTATCCACCAATTTTACAACTAGAAGTCTCTCTATCCACAATTTTACAACTAGAAGTCTCTCTATCCACCAATTTTACAACTAGAAGTCTCTCATCCACCAATTTTTCAACTAGAAGTCTCTCTATCCACAATTTTACAACTAGAAGTCTCTCTATCCACCAATTTTACAACTAGAAGTCTCTCTATCCACCAGTTTTACAATTAAAAGTCTCTCTATCCACCAATTTTACAACTAGAAGTCTCTCTATCCACCAATTTTACAACTGGCAAATGGAATAAGTACCGAACCAACCGAAAGAGGTTGTAAAGGAATTGAAACGGTGGTCTGCCGGATTATGGTTTTTACACATAGTTTACGCTACAGACATGGCTTAAAGCATATTTCAACGTCACATCCAACAATATGTAATTTACTAGTTTTGACGAGTAAACTCGTAAAATTGGGTGAAATACTAATAACAAGTAGAAGTTGCTACAAATTCATGTGGCGTGTTTATGAAAAAAAAACACTTTTCCCTGTATCGGGTTTGATTATTACAGTAAAAAAAAGAAGTTAATTTTATCATTACATAATGAAGTTTCTAACAATTTTCAAACGAATTTCTTTTTTTTTCTGCTTTTATATCTAGTAAAGCCATTTGCCGTGATCCCGTTTTATTTCTCGACTTGTGATTTATGACATAACGAAACACGTTTAACTTCCACACGAGCGAAATAGCATAAGTTACTTATAGTTGAATATCAGAAAATATGATATTTCTATACTATGAAAAGTATATATATATATAGATACATTTAAAAGTTGAAGACAGGTAGATAAAGCCCCCAGGTGCCTCAGCACTAAGCATTATGGGTTTATAACAGGTAGCCATTGTACAGTTTTGGGCTTGAATAAATAAACTGAAATATATATAGATAGAATCTTCAACAAAATTGGTTTGTTTTGAATTTCACGCAAAGCTACACGAGGACTATCTGCACTAGCCGTCCCTAATATAGCAGTGAAAGACTAGAGGGAAGGCAGCTAGTCATCATCACCCACCGCCAACTCTTGGGCTACTCTTGACCAACGAATAGTGGGATTAACCGTCACATTATAACGCCCCCACGGCTGAAAGGGCGAGCATGTTTGGTGGAACGGGGATTCAAACCCGCGATCCTCATATTGCGAGTCAAGCGCCCTAACCACCTGGCCATACAAGACCGTCAAGAAAAACTAAAATATTGTGCTTCTTCGAAGTAATTATATTTTGATTAATGATCAAATTTTGAAATTTTGAAATCATATCTATATATAAACCCATTAATCTTTTTTTCTTCATTGTCTAAAGATTCATATATAAAATAAAACCCAGCTTTCAGAAATTTTATTCAATAGCCACAACTACAGAAAAGATTTTTACTGTTGTAGTTTTATTTCTTGTCAACGCATAATGTCTTGTAAAACACCTTCTCTTCAAGCGTATCTGTCTACCAACAAGAGTTTTCTTGTTATTATTTGAACACTTCATTCATAATGTTACTATCATCACTTTAAATTATTTTAGCGGTGGCGTGTGAAATAATCCTGCGTTGCACTTTTTTTTAGTAGTTTTCTTTAACTTGATGGCCCGGCATGGCCAGATGGATAAGGCGCTCGACTCCCAATCTGAGGGTCGCGGGTTCGAATCCCCGTCCCACCAAACATGCTCGCCCTTTCAGCCGTGGGGGCGTTTTAATGTGACGGTCAATCTCACTATTCGTTGGTAAAAGAGTAGCCCAAGAGTTGGCGGTGGGTGGTGATGACTAGCTGCCTTCCCTCTAGTCTTACACTGCTAAATTAGGGACGGCTAGGCAGATAGCCCTCGTGTAGCTTTGCCCGATATTAACAAAACAAACTTTAATTTGATATCATTCAGATGTTTTATTAGCTAAAACTTGAGAATCTCTAATGAAATAACACAAAATAGTTAGATGTTTACACTATTACAAATTTAAAACACTACAGTGTATAAAAGCTAGATTTTTTTGTAGATCTCGAATGTTCTAGTTTTCTTTCATTGGGTAAAAATGAACAAAAAAGTCTGCCACAAATTGTCTCACTAGTTAAAAAAGAACAGAGAGAAATGTTCTTAATTCATTCCGCGTAATATTGGGAAAGTTTTTCAAAGACTAAAACATACAATCGGATTCACAGATGGCCTAATTTTGTTGAGATTTCTTATTTCATTTTATTTAAAAGTTCCATTGACATTTAAAGCTTGGTTGCAATTTTGACTTCACTTGCATAATGCATTTCTTCAAATTTATCTTTTGAAAAATTAAAATGATTTTTGAAAACTTCTAAAAAATTCAATGTTGTTTCCAGTATATTTTGTTGATTTAAGATAAGGATGAAGAATTGTAATTAATTTTGTCTAATTATTGAGAAAATAATGTATAATTAACTCTAACATGAATATACATTATCTTGTCTTCTACCATAATTATGCGTTACCTATATAACTTTTGTTCGATATCATAAATTATTATTAACATGAAAGACGGTTTAGATTGTGGTCAACATTTATATATACATAAACTCATTCATAATATCTATGGTTATGAAGAAAATGTGAATACGGTATACACTAAATTAATTTAACTTTCAAGATTTTAAATGTTATACAAAACTACAAGTTATACAAGGTTGATACGTTTAAAAAGGTAATTGATTATCAGGCGTGTATTATTTAAAAAATATCTAACTAACACAGTTTGTTGCTTTATTGATTAACAAAAAAAAAAAAGAATGAATACTTACCAATTTAGATTATTTCGAGAAACTGCCATCTGGTGATAACTGTATAAAAATATAAGAAATATGCAATAAACAGCTGAAAATTTTTTTAAATTCTGATTCATATTCAAAATACTAAAACAAAATAATCATGGTATACAGATACAATATAGAGATGACCGCTGTTGCTCAGTCTTTTTGAGGCATCAGAATCATAGGGTGAGAAATCAGAAAAGGTTGAAAAACAGGAATGTCATCTAAGCATTTTAAACCAAACATGCTATAGACGACACCATATCTCATCAATACCTTCTATAATAGTATAAGAAGCTGTACAACTTTAAATCACCAAAGGGCATTTTTACTGACGGAGCCGAGCCGGAAACGCCTTTCTGGTTGGCCTACGAATACATAAGCGCATGCCAAAAGTTTGGCCCGCCCAGACAATTAGAATAATTGACAATTTTCGGGAATCATTAGTGAAGTGTTTGATCCAGACTAATTATTAGGTTTCTTGGCGAAATATCTATCGATAGTATCTAAGAGGAATCTTTCTTTGGAGGTAACGCCCTTGTTACTATAACAGTCAACTTCTGCTGTAGTTCCTGTCAGTTATATTAATAGCTTTCAAATACCCGTATAATTTGGTTTATTATGCATTGAAGTGCTTAAAGTTGACCTTGACAATAAAATACAGTCTAGTCTTAATTTCGTTTTCTTCCAACGAAATCACTAGCCTAAAGTCATAGCTGACCATTAATGAATTCTGACATTAATTAGTAGAACAGTCTGTGGTCATAAAAAACGCTCCAAATGCCAGGATTGAACGAATATGTAATGTACATTGCATAACCAAGAATTAATACGTTCTGTTTTGTTATTCTTATTAAACACTAGAAAAACATTATTATAGTCGAATAATAACTTAACCTTAAATAATAACTATAATAACTTAGTAAATTGTCAACGTTTTTTTGAAGTTCAAAGAACTAATTTGTTTTATCTTTTTTTATCTCCTATCTATATACCCCTTTCTGTTATATTTAATTCTTTGTATACTTAAACATTTCTTACATCTACGCAACTGGTCCCAAGTTAACCTAAATTTATTCTAAAGCTGCATTTATATTAATATCAAAACTCTAATACACATAAATTGAAACATACACAAACTTATTAACCATTGAGCGTTTCGCCCTTACTCTTCGAAAAATTAAATAGGGTTAAGAGACATTGTGCGATTTTTTATTTATTTTTTCATGTTGTTTCATGAAGATCAGACAAAAACATTCTTCATATTGTAAATGGTAACCTGAAGAGATTTATCATTTAAATACTGCTGATCATCATTATTTGAAATATGCTATAAATAGATAAGTAGACGGTCGATAACCATGCACCTTTAATCTTACTCTTTACTGTTCTTAACTAGAAGGTCGATAACCATACACCTTTAATCTTACTCTTTACTGTTCTTAATTAGGAGGTCAATAACTATGCACCTTTAATCTTACTCTTTACTATTCTTAAGTAGGAGGTCGATAACCATACACCTTTAATCTTACTCTTTACTGTTCTTAACTAGGAAGTCGATAACCATGCACCTTTAATTTTACTCTTCACTGTTCTTAACTAGGAGGTCGATAACCATGCACCTTTAATCTTACTCTTTACTGTTCTTAACTAGGAGGTCTATAACTATGCACCTTTAATCTTACTCTTTACTGTTCTTAAGTAGGAGGTCGATAACCATACACCTTTAATCTTACTCAATGTGGTAGTTGTAGAGCATCGAAAATGAATAAAGTTGTGGCAGTGACTGTTAAGGCTAATTGTCGTAGATTATGTAACAGGTAAACTCGTGTTTAAATACGAAATGTATTTAAACTTTAAGCCTAACTTTCGATTTTTACGCACCTGTTTGAATTTGTATTGGGATGTCATGGTATTGCGTTATTTATAAGTCACGGAAAAATAAAGAATTAATTAGTTAATATGTTTCCTTGCGTGTCGTTTATGTTACTGAAGTAATTGCCTTTATATTTAATGCTATAAACGTCGTAGTTTTGGATTCGTATAGAACAATGCTCGTTAAACGTTGTTCACTTTTGCACTCGTATGAACGTAAAAGTACCACTGTACAATTAGCTGATAGGAATATTGGGTTTCCATACGAGCTAGAACGGACTAACTGACACACATTATTATTTTAATTAAATGGATTATAGGTCAACTAACAGGGGGAAAAATGGTAATACAAGATAATTAACAGGGTTAAAATTTGAAAGATGATTTAATGTTTATATTGTACATAAATTCTAAGCAAGGAGCAAACTTAATAATTCAACTAAATGTGTCACCTGAAATAATAGAACTAAATCTTGCCAAATTCATTAGTGTTTATATTTTACGTCATACAAGTTAACATGGAGAAAAACAGAATATTCAATAGCTTATGTTTCATACCATTAAAACCCTTTAACAAAGAGAAGAGTTGAACATTCAACTGTTTATGTTGAACATCATCAAAAACATACAACAGGAAGAAGGGCTGAACAAGGTTTAACTGTTTATGTTATATATGATCAAACCCATATACAAGGGAGATTGCTGAACAGGATTCAACTGTTGATGTTGTGCACCGTCAAAACCATATAAAATGGAGAATGGTTGATCGGGATTCAAGTGTTGATGTTGTACACCGTCAAAACCATATAAAAGGGAGAATGGTTGAACGGGATTCAAGTATTGATGTTGTACACCGTCAAAACCATATAAAATGGAGAATGGTTGAACGGGATTCCACCGAATTTGTTGTGCGCCATCAAACCCATATAATAGGCAGAAGGATTCAGTAGGTTTCAATCGTTTATAGTATATCTTATAAAAAACAAATAAAAGGAAAAAAGGTTCAAAAGATTCGTTTCTTCATGTTGTATACCATCAAAACGATATGATATGGAGGTGGATTGTACAAGATTCTACAGTTTATATTATATTTTGTCAAAACCATTTAAAAGCGAGAAGGGGGGAAGAAAATTCAACTGTTTTTGCTGTACACGATCAAAACTGTATAATAGGGAAACGGGTTGAACAAGGTTTAGTTGTTTATATTATATCTTATCAAAACCATAGAAAAATTAGAAGGGTGTAAGAACATTCAACTGTTTATATTATATCTTATCATAACCGTATAACAGGAACAAGTGTTTAACAAGATTGTACTGTTTATATTATATCTTATAAAAAATATATAGAAAGGAGAAGGGTGTAAGAACATTCAACTGTTTATATTATATCTTATCATAACCATATAACAGGAACAAGTGTTTAAAAAGATTGAACTGTTTATATTATATGGGTGGAAGAAGATTCAACAAGTTGTGGTTATTTTTGTTATGTGAAGTGCAACCTATACAATTATTTCATGTTTTACTGAACTTGAACTGTAAAAGAATATTTCCCTAATGTAAAAGAAAAAGAGACAGATGAAAAATATCTGTTCTTATAGAAGTAACAAATGGTATTTAGGGAGTATATGGACTGTTTAATGATTTAGCAATTGTTCTATTTTCGTTTCTAATAGAACTGTCAACGACCTTTATGACAAAAAAAAACGACTCAATTAAAAAAAAAACCTTTTATCTTTGTTCCAGCCTGTTATTTACATCTTTCTATAAAGGTCACAGCTTGTACATAAAAACAAAGAAAACTTGTCATTAGTTGCTTTTGTGGGTGTAGACGTAACCTTGGTGTTTTTACAGCTGTAGTTTTCTACGTGTTTGCAGCTGTTCAACTTTTTATGGCATATACTACACAATGAAGAAACTCGATTTTTTTCAAAAGTTAATGGAATGTAATACATTATGGTTATATTTGAAACAAGTTTTATTTGAATCAGTACATCAACTTGTTTTTATAACTTTCAAAGCGTCATATTTCGTTTATTTCGAGGAAATACTCTGCAATAGAGTATATATATATATATATATATATATATATATATATATA